ACACTCACTCCCTCACTCACTCTCTCACTCACTCACACACACACACACACTCACTCACACACACTCACTCCCTCACTCACTCTCTCACTCACTCACACACACACACACACTCACTCACACACACTCACTCCCTCACTCACTCTCTCACTCACTCACACACACACACACACTCACTCACACACACTCACTCCCTCACTCACTCTCTCACTCACTCACACACACACACACACACACACACACACAGCGTATAGATCTCTGTAGACTGGTGTGTGTTTACAAGCACAAAACTCATTCTCTGATTCTGTACATTTCTGAGACTGTTTGTGAGGAGAAACAATGACTCTTTCTATATTTCTATGGCAAATGTTTATTTTCATGCTGATGTTTTGAATCATGATGCTTTTCTTCTTCAGGGTATGAATCGATCTCTCAGTCGCTCTCTGTACTGTCGATACAGTATTCTTGCCTTATTTGACATGCTTGCGGTGGTTAAAGTCATTTGCCTTTTAGCTCTTTGATAAACAGACGTGTAATTTGTAAATACAGCGATGTATGATATACTGTCCTTTGTACAGCGTAAACCTGAGCAATACAAGATTTTGTAATAAAGAGAGAATTGAAGTACAACTCTTCTCAACGGTTGACTATTGTTTTGTTTTTAGATGTGCTGCCTCTTTTTTGGGGGGGGGGGCGGGATATGTGAAGCTCTATGAAGATCCCACTGGACTGTGTTGAGCTGAGTCTGGAGGAGTTTATTTCACAGATCCTACAGACAGTTCCTATGGTCCCAGCGCTTCCAAGTCTACTAGTCCTAAATCCGCTGATCCCAAGTCTGATGTTCTTACTGTTCAAGTTTGGTGATCTCAAGTCTGGTGGTCCCTGTGCTCTCTAGTACGGTGGTCCCACATTTGGTAATCCCAGAGTTCCCTAGTCTGGTGGTTACGAGTCTGTTGGGCTCACATCTGGTTATCCCAGCACTCCCTAGTCCAGTGGTCCCCCAGTTCTGTAGTTCCAGTGCTCTTAAGTCCAGTGTTCCTGGAGTTTTCTAGGACTACGGTAGTCCCGAGGTGCTTCTGGTAATGTCTGCCACCAACCTGTATGTCTGGGCCATGCACACTAACTCCATTGGTCATCCCCAGCAAAAGGGGGCAGTGTCTGCTTCAGCGCCATCTGGGGCATCAGTGTCGTCTTCCAAACTACCTGTCAGGCCATCCCTGTCTGGTCTATCACTCCCACAAAGGTTGTCTCAAAGTTCACTATATTCCCTACATGTACTGTAAAGTCTGTCTCTGAGTTCTCTATGTTTCCTGCCAGAGGTCTCCCACTCTGTTGGCTTGTGTTAGTGTATCTAGTTAGTCCTATTATCCCCCTTGTATATAACCCCCAGTGTTTCCAGTGTTAATTGTCTGGTATTGTCTTTCTGTGGTGGTTTGTTGGGTTTGATCAGTTCTGTTTTTTCCCCCTAGTTCCTGTGTTTTATATCTGATGGTGATGATGATGATGACATTTATTGTTGAAATGTATATCTACATTTGGATCCTCTCTTGTTGTCTGAGTTCACCCCAGAATGACAGCTTTACACACTGCTGTTATTAATTCATACTCAATGACTTAACATCATATTAATGTCAGTGATTCTTCTGCTAGACGACTTGAGTCATTGGATACCATCCTTCCACATTCATAATGAGAACATGATCACACTAAGTCAGTGGTTTTTTATCTTGGTCCTGGGGAGCCCCGCTCTGGACATTTGTCTCCCTTATTTGACACACTCAGTTCAGTTCATGGAGTCTCTCCTAACGAGCTGATGATCTAAATCAGGTGTGTCATATAAGGCAGACATGCAACATGTGCAGAGAGATGGGTTCCCAGGAACAGAGCTAAGAACCACTGCACTAAATAGTTTCAGTAATGAATCATGCTGTGATGTTGCAGATATTTAATTAGATTCTGCATTCATTATTATATTTGAAATAAATACTGAATAAAAGGCTATTTGTAAATGTATCTTGTATCAGTCATCAAAAACATATACACAATACTGACTCACTTGTGTGTTTTCATTCATCCAGGCCAGTGGATGCAGTGTTTCTTCTACTTCGTTCTGCATCTGATGATGTCCACAGGTGACCACAATCACCAGGTGAAGTGTGTTTGTAGCAGGTGAGATGGGTAACCTACAGGACGTGTGATACAGTTAAATCGAGGATCTGTGTGGCCTGTTGGAAAAGTATCTCTGGATTGTCCCAGCTATTTCTTCTAGACAGAGGAAGATTAAACAAAGAGCAAACCGGTCAGTGACTTATAAAAGTGTCCATGCTAAAACTACAACTTTTCATGTGCCAAGTTCTTAGAAATGCACTTTTTGTTGTCATGAGGTTTTGAAACGCTTTTATACAATTTTTAAGAGAATGTTGCCCTTGAGTAGGGTGACCATACGTGCCATTTTCCCAGGACGCGTCCTGGCCAGGATTTGTTTTGGCTTTGTTTTCATGCTTGCTGAAGGTAATGATCGAAAAGTAGTTTGACCAATAACATGCAAGCATTGTACATAATGGACCAATCATGGCGTGTGAGAAGGTGGGATCTACGGTCAAAGCGATGCAGTTACGCGGACATATTAGGTGTGTTCGACTTAAAAGCAGTGCGGCTCAGACCGATCAGTGTTTGACATCAAAGTACCTCGAGAGCGTTTCGAAAGCATAACCGTCTGTATGGTACTTTGGTGTCATACACCGATCGGTCTGCACACGCAAACAAAGCCAAAACAGATGTTTTAGGCAATACAGAAATCCTGGCCAGGACGCGTCCTGGGAAAATGGCACGTATGGTCACCCTACACTTGAGCAGTTGCACAACAATCTTAACTGAGGTACATTATAATGGCTCTTTTCTTTCAAATCACTTTTTGTGTATGCTTTGTTTTATGCATATTTAAGTAGTTGCAGCACATGACTTTTGAGACTTTTTTTTTTTTTAATCAGTGAAGCAGTTTTGATCAAATATTTTTCCAAGAATTATTAATAAATGATTATGCCAACTACTTAATTGTCGTTTTTGACTTTATCCATATGCTCTTTTAGATCAAAGCACCCGTTCAGTGGCTGAAGGACGTTCTTGTTGAAGAACAGACTCGCTGTGTTCTTCATGAGCTCCTTACACACCATCTCAGAGCTCGCGGAGCCTGATGAGTCTCTGGAGCTTGCGTCTGGAGCTCAGAGCATCCATCAGACTAGCAAAGACTGGAGTTTAACCCTCAAAGAGCTTCGGGTGCCTACTAGCCACCATGATAGACAGACAACTAAACGGACAAGCAAGTCACCGTCTCATAAGGTGCAAGAGTTTCCAACCAACTGCGTTAGCATTCATATAGAAGCACACTTAACCCAACGGGTCGACAGCATCCACCTCTCAGGGTTAAACTGCTAAGTTAATGTATAGACTGTACGGAAATATCTAGCTAATAACCCCTATCCAAATGTTGTGAGGAATATTTTTAAACGTTTCTAAAACACTAAAATGTCCAGTTTTCTTGTGATTCTAAAAACAAATGTTATACTAATTTCATTTTTTTAGCAAATGCACTTGTATTTTACATCTAAATGCAAAAATAACGTAAAAGTTTAAATGAATGTAAATTAGAAATCAACATGTTTCAATGGCATGTTTTTATTTCTTCTGCTCTTGTGATATCATGGCGTTCTCATTACAGGCCTGGTTTGGGAATCACTGGTTTAATCTGTGTTTCAGCAGGTGAATCTGCCGCAGTGGCTGGTGAATCTGATGCGAGACATCGAGGAGGCCACGACACATGAGCTCACCATTGAATGAAGATCCCTCAGACAGTGGGCTTTAACAGCCAACACATATTCTGCTGAGCATTTCACCTCTCTTCACACCCGAGGTCATCATTTGTGTTTGTAATATTTAAATGTATTTTTTTCTGACGTTTAATTCTCCATCTCCAGTGCACTGTTTTTGTTCTTCTTGCACAATCTATGCCTGGACTTGTGTGGGTGGGATGTAAATGATTTGCTCGTGGCGTGTGTGAGTATAGGCACTGATGGACCTACAGCAATCCTGAAGAACATCAGCTGTGTTTGTTCAAGCACACAAACAAAGCTTGAACTCATAAGATGTGCTCACCATTAAAGCTCGATTCAATTATTAATGCTACTGGAATCACAAATCTGTAGCGTCTGATGTTTTGAACTACTGGTTGACCTCATGCAAGAGATCTTGGTGTCCAACGTTAGACTAATACTACACCAGGAGCTCTTAATTACTGCACAGGCACCTCATGACAAACATGTTATGATGGCTGAAGACCTCAGATTAACCCGTCCTGTTATGCAATGACCATATGACCTTGTTTTTGTGACACAACTCAAAGTGTGGTCAAAAACACATTATTGAGATATGCTCGCATAACTCCTGTTGTGTGACAGACAAATGTGTTTACATGCTACGTTATTGATATACATGCTCAGAAATGAGACGACAAAAGCTGTCACTGGGGTGGTACCTTTTCAAAAGATGCACCTTTGTACGTTATTTACACCATAGTCAACATTTGAAGAGGATCAAAACCTTTCATCAAAGTTGTCCTAAAACCAAAATGGGTTCTTGTGTTAGGACAACCTTGATTTTTTTTTTTTTGACCCACTTCAAATGTTGACTAGTGTAGTTACATTTTAGCACTTGAAGTGTGTGTATTAGTACCTAAATGATGCATATTAGTACCATTTGAAAGGGTGCCATCCTAGTGACAGCTTTTGTATGTTTTTTTTTTTTGTTTTTTTTTGAGTGCAGATGATAAACAGCAGCATCATGAACCTGTTTCTGGTGAAATGGGTCACAGATGTTGCGTCGTCCCATATTGCACACTTCGTCCTAGAGTAAATATTGACGTCTGCGCAACCAGAGCAAACCTGTGCACTGAAAACAGCATAATTAATACAGGCGAGCGGCGTGTCAATGGTTAACTCCTCTGAGGTCATGTCACGGTATAAAACACGGCACAGAGAGCAGATCTGACATACAGCAGCAGATATTGGCTTCAGGACATCTCTGGTTCTGCAATGAGAAGGCCGTGTGTTTTGGTGTTGTTGGTGAGCGTCCTCGTCTGTCCCGCGGATCTTTCTCCGGTGATCGGGCCTGAACCCATCCGCTGCGCTCCATGCTCTCAGGAGCAGCTGGACTCCTGCCCCGCCGTGTCCTTGGACTGTCCGGAGGTGCTGCGAGAGCCGGGCTGCGGCTGCTGCATGTCCTGCGCGCTGAAGAAAGGAGAGTCCTGCGGTGTTTATACGGCTCACTGCGGCGCTGGCCTGCGCTGCGTCCCGAGACCCGGCGACCCGCGGCCGCTCCACGCTCTGACCCGCGGACACGCCGTCTGCACTGAGGACGACCGCACAGAAGGTGCGTTTCTCATCAGTCAGGACGTTTACATGGACAACAATATTCAAGACAATACTCTGATTAAGAATCTACCATGCAAACAAATTTCTGATTAACTTAATTGGGCTAAAGTCAAATACAAATCAGATTAAGACATGTGGAATACTCCTATTTCAGTCGCATTATTGAAGTGCAGTATAGACATATACACACCTTAATCACACTATTACCGGGGTCTAGGATTTTCACCACATTTTGCGATAGCATACACACATGGCAGTGCTCAACCGTTTGACGGCAAACAAAACCGCATAGCTTCAACAACGCCGTCGTCTGTTTGCACGTATGTGTCCCTGCAGCACAAAAGCAGTGTTAAGTCGCTGGGGTATATTTGTAGCAATAGCCAACAATACATTGTATGGGTCAAAATTATACATTTCTCTTTTATGCCAAAAATCATTAGGATATTAAGTAAAGATCATGTTCCATGAAGATATTTTGTAAATCTCCTACCGTAAATATATCAAAACTTAATTTTTGATTAGTAATATGCATTGCTAAGAACTTCATTTGGACAACTTTAAAGATGATTTTCTCAATATTTAGATTTTTTTGCACCCTCAGATTCCAGATTTTCAAATAGTTGTATCTCAGCCAAATATTGTCCTATCCTAACAAACCATACATCAATGGAAAGCGTATTTATTCAGCTTTCAGATGTATAAATCTCAATTTAAAAAAATTGACCCTTGTGACTGGTTTTGTGGTCCAGGGTCACAGATCTATTCTTTGCGTTCCCATTTGCTCAAATAGCAAAAGAAAAATGATAGTTTTTCACGACTTTCAATCAAAGGAAAAGAGTTTAGAGAAACTGATAACGGCAGTCAGAATTGTCAAATTTACCGACCCTCCCATAGACGCTGCATTAGAAACACCCTCGCATTAGCCTTAACTTTTTTTTGTGATTTGATACAATACAAAGTATAGCGTTATAGTAAATGTACGTCTTTTTTTTTGTATTTTTTTAATTTATTTTTTTATCCAAATATAAAAAATTGAGGATTTACGATGCTGATGACCATTGAAACGCAAAAAAGTGGTAATTGGTGACAGGACTCATGTTTTGTTTCTAGATTACCCGGACATCACGTCTGACCAGGGCTCCCTGCAACACCTGCTGGGCCTCAACCGGCCGCTGGACACGCGGGACGCAGCGGAGGCTCAGGAGAGCATCAAGGCCAAAGTCAACGCCATCCGCAAGAAACTGATCCAACAGGTACTGAAACCTGCTTCAGGAGAGAGCCTCACATTCACTGGCGGAAGCTGTTGAGTTTCTGAATTGTATTTAAAATGTTCATCCATTTGAATTACACTGTTTTAACATACACTAATAAACTTAAATGTTACATATTTGTCACAAGGTTACTACACTATATGATTTTTTTCCACTTTTTAAATAAAATGTTAACTGAAATAAGGGCAACATTTGTCAGTAATTTAACTTGATGTACTAAAATAACAAACTTAAACAGAAATAAAAATTAATAAACTATATAGAAATTTTAAAACAACAAAAAAATGACAAAAACAACAATTACTTTAAAGTTAACATCAATATATTTTTAAATAAAATCTAATTCAAATATATTTAAAAATATTTCTCTATAGTTATATACTAGCAACACTGTTTTACTGTTTTGTCAGTCATACAAAAAAAATGATGGCGTAGTTTATTATTAATTTAACCTATTTGATTTTTAAAAATATTTTCAAAATTCATTTAAGAATCAACAAATGTTCATTGTGATGTCAATTAGCTACAATGTATGAGATGGAAACAAATTGGATTTATTGATGATAAATACATAAACCTGGTTATTGTGTATTTAAGACAATTCAGTTAATTAGTACTAGTACAGAAATCAGTGCTGAATAAATAAGTCTGTGTTAATCCAAATGGATGGATATGTATTTCAGATACACAGATCTTAAGTTTTGGCCTGATATTTTAAAGTGTACTTGTCATTTGTGTTCCGCCAGTTGTTCCCAGGTTTGTATGTTTGGTTGACCCATGGCGTGTTTCTGTGATTTAGGGTCCGTGTCACACGGAGCTGCATGCGTCTCTGGATCTTATCACTGAATCGCAGCAGACGTTAGGAGAGAAGTTCACCAGCTTTTACCTGCCCAACTGTGACAAGCACGGATTCTACAAGGCCAAACAGGTGCGTGTCTGTCCCGACCGACCCAACCTGACCTGAAACCGCACACTAACTCTTCTCTGTCTGTCAGGGATTCTACAAGGCCAAACAGGTGCGTGTCTGTCCCGACCGACCCAACCTGACCTGAAATGTCACACTAACTCTTCTCTGTCTGTCAGTGTGAGACGTCTCTGGAGGGCCAGCCTCCCCGCTGCTGGTGTGTGTCGTCCTGGAACGGGAAGAGAATCGGCGAGGCTCTGGCGTCTGATTCTCCGTGTCCTCAGGAGCTCACGCACTGAACCGAAGCTGCAGCTCACTTCACTTATGTACCATATTTATTCTTATGTATATGGCTCTTATGTGGTTAATATTCATGAACTAGTTTTTGACAGAATTCTACCAGAATGAATGAAACGCACTAGAAAACATGGTGTTTTACGCTCCACAATGACACAACAGTATGATATTTTATGACAAGTCTGTGATTCTGTCTCGGTCTTTGTTCGCTGTGGTTTTTCCTGACCACTTTAATTCAGTATAACTGTTTTTGCACTGCAAATGTCCAAGGTGAACCTGTTTGGACACTGATAGTCTGTAAACAGTTTCATGTGTTTGTTTTCTGTAAGCTCAGTTTTAATTGCTATTTTATTTGATTATGTATTTAAAATGGATGTCTACCTCACATTAGACATGACGTCTTCATGAACTCCCTGAATGCTTTTAACATTTAAGAGTGCTGCTCTATTTATTCTGAAACCATTATTTTATTGGATGTAAATGTGTCTGTGTGTGTATATAACCTCATGAATTTATTTCAATAAAGTGAGATTGTACAGATTGCAAAGGATCTTTTTTTTTTTTTTTTGGAGATTAAGCTGTTGAACAATTTTCATTTTGAACATTGTGCAGGATACCTCATAAGACCGAAAACACAAAGATCGCTGGATGAGGTGATATTACCTACAACCCTGGTGTGATCTCTAGGTATCTTGACATCCTGAGGTAGAAACAGAAAAGCAAATGGAGAATAATTAGCGTAGCTGATGCTTATAACAGTTCAAGCTAAACAGTCATGTGCATGCAGTGAGTTAATAAAACTAAAGGTGACAGTGACATTTTGGTCATTGTGATGAACTTGCAGAGTTATGTTATATGTTAGCTGGAAAAGCTGCTCAATGTGACCAAATTTCTGGATGTTTTGATCCGCTGAAGTATGCATTACCAAGGCTTCTGTTAACTAATCCTGAAGTTAATTTGCTGTGGCATAAAGATTTATGATGACGAGGGATTTGTGCAGAGAAAGGTCCTGAATACTGCAGAGGGAGGCATATTATGGGACGAGTGTCTGAAAGCAGCCCACTCCTGTCATTAAAGATGAAAAACATAATTATCTTCATTAAACCGGGTCCTCTGAGCTGGCTTTGGTCAGGCTCAGGATGTTTACTAATGTTATCACCCAACGCTGTCCTGTTTCTCTGGAGGTTGATTAGAAGATCTGCTAACCCTCACTGTTTCTCCACTCTGTTCCTCATAGCCACTTGTTATCATTATTATTACTTTCTTAAAGAAGATGAAGAGGCATTATAGGTCAGTTTCTTTCTCATTATTTTTGCTGAGCAATGAATAGCAATAAAGGTAGATCTTTGCCCAGCCTCTTTTGATCTTGAAGTGTTACTAGACAAACTGTCTCATCGCATGATCCTCAGAAATCAGAAGAAATGTGGCTGTTAGTTTTTGTGGGAGTGTTGAACAGGCTTCAGACGGATGTAACATTATCCGATCGGGTATTTTCCTCTGAGACCTCGCAGATTCTTCATCTAGCTCGCAACTACTGTTACTCTGAGTAACTTTTTCCAAAGCTTAGTCTTGGTTTGGGAGTCTGTTTGCATTCTAGTATTGTTGAATTTAATGTTTAGTGGCATGGTAACAGAACACTTTCCTCACTCCTTCTGTTTTCTTGACTTTGTGTAAGAACACACACTGCTGCCAAAGCAGTTTATATAATGGAAAATACTAAAGCAGCCAGTCCTGAACATTTTCCCCAAACCACAGGAATAATGCTGCTCAGTGTTTGTAACATTGTGACTGAATCATCAATCATGCTAGTCCTGCTCTATTTAAGGCTGCAGTCGTGTCAAATACATGCAACTACATCCCCTTCTCCCTTTCTCCTTTCTCGTAAGGCTTCAGTGAACCTTTGCTTTTTAATTTAATCTGTAAGTAAAGCTGCATTAAAGATGCTAAATCATTACTGACGTTTAAAAGCCAGTTCTTATAAGCGAAGCAGTATTCAGCACTGAAACATTGCATATTACATATATGAACTATGAATCATTTTGAAGACAAATTTCCACTTTTGAATGCTTTTCCAATCCATACGTATGCTGAAGGAGTCACTCAGTTTCTTATAGAGACACCCATCCTTTCATGGTTGAGGGGCATAGAAGGGGAAAACTGGGCCACTAATGAGATGGAAAGCAAACTCACCCTAACCCTGAGCTGTGAGGTGGAGTGTAGCATGACGGGTAAACAAACCACAGAATGTAGTCTGAAAAACTGTCTGGCACCAAAATCTACCCACAAACAGTTAAAATAAACATTCTGTCATCATTTGAGTTTGTTCTTCTGTGAAACACAAAAGAAGATGTTGTGCAAAGATGTCTCTGTGTGTAAAACTAAAAATAATGCCTTCCACCGCAGCTGTCAGATCTCATTTGTGCCTGAGCATATTCAGACTTACACTAGTGTTAATGACGCTAAACATTGTTGCTTCTCATAAATCTGACAGACTGAATGTGAAACAGCAACACTTATTTATAAAGCACATTTAAAAAAAAAACATAAACTGATCCAAAGTGGAACAGATAGATGTAAATAATTAGAAAATCTGAGCGCTCTAGCCTACTCAACCCTGAATGTAAGCCAGTGGAGGAACACTAATAAAAGGAAAGTATGGTCCCTGTTTTTAGAATGTGTCAAAAGCCTTGTGGCTGCATTTTGAACAACTTGCAAGCGAGATGATGTAGATTGGGTTACAGTAATGGATGACTAATTCCAAATCTTTGCTTGACAGAATATACTTTAGTTTTGCAATAGAGTCATGTCAAAGAAGTCAAAGATCACTCCAAGGTTTTTGTAAATTTAAAGTGGAACTAACTGGACTTTTAGGACAGGGAAAGAAGAGATGGGATCAAACGTTTGCGTTATCTTCATTAAGCTGCCAAAACTTTTTCACCATCCAACTCTTAATATCATTAATGCACTTGAACAAGACATTAAATGAAAATGTAGTGCCAGGCCTTACTGGAAGGTAAAACTCGGAATCGTTTGCATATCAGTGATAATCAACATTATTTTCCTGAAGAATGTAGCCAAAAAGGAAGTACAGTGGGTACGGAAAGTATTCAGACCCCCTTAAATTTTTCACTCTTTGTTATATTGCAGCCATTTGCTAAAATCATTTAAGTTAATTTTTTTTCCTCATTAATGTACACACAGCACCCCATATTGACAGAAAAACACAGAATTGTTGACATTTTTGCAGATTTATTAAAAAAGAAAAACTGAAATATCACATGGTCCTAAGTATTCAGACCCTTTGC